AGCACTCAGGAGGCAGAGACAGGCAGATCTCAGTGAGTTCGAGGCCAGCCTGGTCTACAAGAGCTAGTTCCAGGACAGCGTCCAAAGCCACAGAGAAACCCTGTCTCGAAAAAAACAAAAGAAGAAGAAGAAGGAGAAGAAGGAGAAGAAGGAGAAGAAGGAGAAGAAGGAGAAGAAGGAGAAGGAGAAGAAGGAGAAGAAGGAGAAGAAGGAGAAGAAGGAGAAGAAGGAGAAGAAGGAGAAGAAGGAGAAGGAGAAGAAGGAGAAGAAGGAGAAGAAGGAGAAGAAGGAGAAGAAGGAGAAGAAGGAGAAGAAGGAGAAGAAGGAGAAGAAGGAGAAGAAGGAGAAGAAGGAGAAGAAAAAGAGTTTTGGGATAGTGGCCAGTATTCTCACTCCAAGCCTTACTTTACCAACAAAAAGTGCTACCATATTCTGTCACTTAGCCCAGTCACACTGATTAAGTGTGCAATGTATGGCCTGGCAATGTGATACCTAAAGTCACGACACAGAGGGTTTCAGTCCAGTTTGCACTTTCTTTGTAGGAATCCTGCTAAGGTGACCGAGGAGGAAAAACTTCAAGACAGTAAAACCATCTCAGCCTCTCTGCAGAACTCAAAACCCTCTCCCCAAGCAACCGATCGTTCTCTCCTTTCCAGAGAAAGCCTTCCGGTCAATGCGCAAGGTAGGTTTCTTGGGGTAAACTAATTCTCAGGCCAGCTAAACAACACATAAGAAAATCGATGGGGAAAGCAGGTAATGAACTTGAAGCTTTTTCTAAACTAAAAGACTCCTTGGAACACAAAATGGAGGAGACATGGAGCGAGTGGAGGGTGTGTGTGTGTGTGTGTGTGTGTGTGTGTGTGTGTGTGTGTGTGTGTGTTGTGTGTTGTGTGTGTGTGTGTATGTGTGTAGTGGATTTAATTCTCTCTGAAAGTAATCGTGTGTGTGTGTTGGGGGGGGGGAGGGGAGTGGATTTCATTCTCCCTGGAATTAGCCTTGCTCCTGGAACTCAAAGCTGCAGGACTATGGGGTCTGATGTCTCTGTGCAATGCACTGGGCCTGGAGCTTGGGCATGGGGAACCTGACTGCTTTTTCTCACAATCCCCTCCGGGATCCTGTGGAGGGCTCTCTCCTAAATGCTCATCACGTGCGCAGCCCAGACTTCAAAGTCGGCCTTAGGCTTGCGGTCTTGGGTGTCCTGGTGGTTTTTAGGGTTTTCTTTCTCTCTAATTTCCCTTCTTTTTCACAGCTGATTTTCTTCAGAAAAGAAGCTATTAAAAAAGAACCTATTGCATTTCCAGTTCCCATCACCGCGATTTCCACATGGATGTGACGTGGAGGCCAGCTTCCGAAATGCCCAGGTGACTCACTGCGGGGGACACCCCGGGGCGGGACCCAGGAGTTTCTCCGGGCGGGGCGGGGACAGCCTCGAGCGCCCTCTGCCGGCCGGCCGCGCGCCACGCGGGCGTCACGTGACTGGAAATTCCCCTCGGAAATCCCCTGTGGCTGGCGACGCGTACAACTCAAAGGCAAAAAAGGGAACTGCCCAGTCTGCTGCCTTCGCGCCGGAGGAGTGCCACGGGCTTTGAGGCCGCGGGGGCGGAGCGGCGAGTCAGGCCGCGGAGAGACGTGCACACCCCCGGCCAGACAGCGAGCCCGACCGGGCGTCCATGGGGCTCCGCCTCGGCCCGACCCCCATCCCGACCCCGATCGCGACCCCCAGCTGCGGCGAGCGCAGTGCCTGACCGCCTGCCACCCGGACTCCACGACCGCACCGCGCGGCCCCAAGAGGTGAGCCGCGCTCAGGCTGCGGGGTGCACAGCCAGTAGGGTGCGGGGTGCACGGCCAGCGGGGTGCAAGGCCAGCTAGATTTGGGGTGCACGGCCAGCCCGGTGTGGGGCTGACTCTTTGGCTTTTCAAGGGTCCTGGGTATTGCTGGCCTGAGCTGAGCTCTCGGTGCCAGATGTTTAGTTGACAGCCCTGAGTTTCTCCAGCCACCTTGTAAGCTATTCCTTTCCGGTCCTGCAGGGTGACATAAGCTGCAGCTGACTGGTGAATCCTTTGGTTCCCAGGTCGCGTGGTCGTGGGTGATTTGCTTCTCCTCCCCCCTTTTCTTTTGGAAATCAAGTGCAGCATGCTTATAGGCACGTAGACCTTGCAGAATCACGCTGGGAGTTTTATCCCACATTGTGCATAACCAGCACAACGGGGGATGGGCTACTCGGAGGCCACCAAATTCGACTTGGAGGCTTCAGTCCGTGAATCTTCCAGGGGACAGCTTCCTCAGACACAGTGACCTGTGGGGAGGGTGTGTGTGTTGGGGGGGGGATGCTTCGAGATTGCGGTCCCTAGTTGCTGCAATATAAGAAGAGTATGCATACAGAAATGGATCTCTGGCCTGCTTCTTGGGGACTCCACTTTAGGTGGCATGTAAAACTCCCTGCTGCAGGCCGACCCCCCCCCCCACTCAAGACTGTGGTTGTCAGTCCGGGTCGCCCCACATCCTGCCACCTGGCCTCTCAGGAAAGCTGAGGTATTAAGGGTTCATTTTGGAGAGCGCTTTGTTTTGAACTCTCCTGGTCTCTGATCCTTCTTTGGAAAGCTAGTCTGGTCAAGTGTCTGGGGGGCACCCTTTGGAACTGATCTTTGTTAATTAGTCTTCTGTACGACGACGATGTCCCAGATTATTGAGCAGCCAATCAGGTCTCCATTCTTGCTGAGATGCTTCTTGGATCGTTTGCAGTTCTATGTTTTGTTTTGGAGGGGTACTTCCCAACAATTGCCTGAGGTATCTGGTGATAAATAATACATAAGTTTCCACATCGCAGACAAAAAAAAAAAAAACCTCAGAGTGGAAAAATAAAAACCGAGGAAAGACTTTGATGAGTAAGTTCTGTAGAATCTTATTGATCCAGTGACAAAAATTGGGAAATTTGTCTGTCAGGCAGTGAGGTAACAAATATATTTTTAAAAGTTAAGGGTAATGCTGTAATTTTTTTACCCATAAGTAAGACATTACAATAATGCCAGGAAAATTTGTTCTCTCAATGTGGGGAAGTCCAAGAACTGGAAACTTGAGCAGTGGTTTAGATTTTGTTTTGAAGAGGCACTTTTGCAGGCATTGTAGAGCAGAGTCTAAATGGGAAGGGATAGTAATGGACTAAAGCAAACATTGACGTTTTCATGTCTTGCATGTGGTTTAAAGCCCCCAGCATTTTTATTTTTAGATCCACACCCAAAGGTCTTTGGTGTAGAATAGACAGACAAACAAAGAGATGCAACCCATTAATAGAAAGTCTTCCTACCCCTACTTCCTGAGGGCTACTTAGGAGACTAGCAGGGGATGGGTATAGGAAACAGGAAGACTCAGCTTCTAGGGGTAGCTGAATCCTGTGACTGCCGGACCGAGATGGGACTCATCTTCATTGCCTTCGCTGCAAACCTAGTGGCTATGTGATATCAAGGCAGTGAAGTCATACATGTTTATCTAGAGCATCAAGCCCAGGGATTGGCTTTAAATAGGTGGTCTAGCATTGCTGGCTGCATGGATTCATGGATGGATGGATAGATGGATAGATGGAGTAATTAATGACATCGTGAAAGAGATCCTTGCAGTATCACTAAGGAGATGTATGTGTGGTATGTATAGTTTTGTCTCATTCCTGCAATGTTTTTGCCTAATTGCAGTTGCAAGGAATAACTGGCATCAGACAGAGAATGACTTCTAGACCTTAAATTAAGAATTCCAATGCAAATCCAGTAACGACCCTCCCTTTCAAGCAGGGCACAAGATTTTAGACCATTTTATCAGGCATAAGAGAATCTGGACCCACTCGAGTTCCTTCTCCAATCTCTAATCTCTAGATTTCTTCTTCTCCTCCTCCTTTTCCTTCTCCTTCTTTTCCTCCTCCTCCTTATTCGTCTTCTTCATCGTCTTCTGTCACCACACCTTTTTGCCTTGTGGTTTTGTCTTGGCAGATAGCATGATGCCTGAGTGGAATTAAGCTTTACCGTGAAACTCCTTAGGTGCTCTACACCATTGTTGTCTTCTAGGAAATCAGGTGTGGCCAAGTGCCCTGTTAAGGGTCCATAGGGACAGTGAGGCAGAACTGGCTCAGCATTGCCCCACTCTGGAAGGATGACCGTATGCATCAGCGCACAGCCTTGCACAAATGGCTTCAGTGGTCCTGTGGCTACTCATCATTTTCCTAAGTGGTAGCTTGGCTGATATGCTTTTCCTATTTGCTTCCATATTTCATTTTCTCCACCTTTGATTGTGCTTGGCCTTCTAGGAGAAGGAAGAGGAAGGGACAGTGTCTTAGGCATTGGTACCTGGATGTCAGCAATAAAAGTTGGTTGTCAGTTGAGTTGAAACCACGGGACTCTCTGGTGCCTTTTTTTTTTTTTTTTTTTTTTTTTTTTTCTGGAGGTGTGGGGTATCTCATTATTACTCTGCTATTTTTGTCTCATGTTGTAAAGTTCAGTGACAGGGCTCTGAAGTAGAGCTGACATTCATTTACTCTTAAGATTGCAAAGCATCTTGCCAGAAATAGGCTTTATTTTGTTGGCGATTATAAACAATCCAGTGTTGACTCTTTATAAATATCATAAACTCCTTAACCAAGTATGTATTACTTTTCTTTGGGGGGCAGTACCTTAGAGGAAATACCAGGCAGCTAGATGCCATATGGGATTTCCATCAAATGTTTGCTGCCTTTGCAGCATCAAGTAGGGGATGTTTGAATGACCTGGATTTGGGTTCTGCTAGAGAGCAAGGACAGAATGGTGGTGGTCTCCAATTATAGTCTAGACGTAGGACTCCAGTGAGCCCTGCACTGACATTCAGAGGTCCTGGGTGACATCCCAGTGATCTGAGGTTGGCTTTGTGGAGCAGGGCCTGTCACTGACAGACAGACTTGGCTCCCTGACAAACTACTGCAGCATGGGTTATTCCCTCCTCCTCATTGCCCACACTCCGCCTCCCTTTCTTGTTTAGACTAATCTTTAAAAGTGATGTAACTTAAAACAGTCCAGTGTGAGTTAACCTGCAGGGCCAGCTACGTGTCCTGGGAGTAGAAGTGACTAAGATCTTCTACCTACAGATAAGAGTAATGACAAGATCAAACACTGGGGTTTCTTGCCGACAGGTACATGGGAACAATGTTCAAGGCAGGCTAACGGAATGGGCTTTTCCCCTTCCTCTTCAGGCTTTGTTGAGGAGGACCATGGCTGAGCAACTCCTTCCTCAGGCTTTGTATTTAAGCAATATGCGGAAAGCTGTGAAGATAAGAGAGAGAACCCCGGAAGATATCTTCAAACCTACCAATGGGATCATTCATCATTTTAAAACCATGCACCGGTGCACACTGGAGATGTTCAGAACGTGTCAGTTTTGCCCACAGTTCCGGGATATCATCCACAAGGCGCTCATTGACAGAAGCGTCCAGGCTTCCTTGGAAAGCCAAAAGAAGCTCAACTGGTGTCGAGAAGTCAGGAAGCTCGTGGCTTTGAAAACCAATGGTAAGGCTTGCCCCCTCTCTAGCACCCTTCTACTAACCTGGGGGTGGGGAGGGTGCTTCTGCTGATGCTACCCATTCAATGACATTAGACAGACACCTATAGAAAGAAACTCCATAAGAGAAAGGTGACAGGGTTTCACTGTATAACTCAGGCTGGTTTTGAACTTTGGCTCTTTCTGCTTCCATCTTCCCAGTGCTGGGATGGCAAGTGTGCATCATTACATCCAGTTGGTGACTGTTTTTATTCACGGTGTTTTCTGAGAGAGAGGGGGTGAGAGAGGGAGGAAGAGAGAGAGAGAGAGAGAGAGAGAGAGAGAGAGAGAGAGAGAGAGAGAGAGAGAGGAGTGCCAGTGTGTTAGAGAGAGGACGTGAAGGCTTGTCGAATGCATTTCTAAACCCCATGCCCTAGTTGGGGGATTAATCTTCCTAATGCTTACATTGGTCGAATCATCTATGGCCTTCACTGGCTGGAATGGAAAGGATTTGAAAGAGAGTAGAGCACTGAGAGCCAGGGTCACAGTTGTTTGCCACTGTCATTAGAAAGATGCTTGTGATGTTCTTGCTCTTCCTGAGTTGACAGCATTTTCTAGACTTACAAGCAAGTGGGTGTTAAGGACAGGAGGACAGGCGATGCTTTTGTTTCTACTTTTCTTGCCTAGGTTCACGGCCTAAGCTAATGAGAGACAGAGTTTCTCTTCACACTGCTCTTGGCATTCAATCAAGGGAAGTCCTTTACCACTGATAACTCTTTTCTGTGTCAGGTTTTACTGTCTTATTTTTTTTTCAAATCACAATCTTTGAGAAAGATTAAGTACATGGTGCAGAAACAGCCAATGATTGTTTCATGCAGTTATAGAAATTCTGCCTTTAGGGTGTAGACATTTATTGTAAGAACAGAAATTGTATGGGATCAATTAAATACAGTGTTGGTAAGAGTACAATCTCATTTTCTTGTATCAGTGACTATATTCTCTGGGTCAAAATAATACATCCAAGAGGAGAAAATCCCTGTTGGCAGTGATGGTGCTAGGAACGTTAACTTAATAACTTAATTGCTACATTAACTTCGGCTGTTCTTGACTTGAGTAACTTGGTGATGGGTTGATGTGGGCTTTTGTTTGTTTTGATTCCGGGGACTCTTGTATATCACCTCTACATCTTCCCTATATTTATGAAGCTTAGACTCTTAGAAATAGAGTCAAAAGAAAACTGGAGACGGTGATTATCTACATTGTTCTTGGCATTAAGTCAAGTGATGCCTCGAAGAAGATAATTATGTTAACTTGTCATCAAGGGGCTTATATGCCTGACAGTTTGTGGTTTCCACCATGTCCCGTTTTGTTAGCAAAAGAGAGACGGAGTTGAGAGAATTAGAAATGGGGTAGAAGAAGAAAAGCCTTACCTTGCTCACCATTCACAGTGTTACCAGACATTATATAGTATTTCCTTAACGGAGGAAATATCTGATTTCCTGGAGAAGAAAGAAATCAGTATGAATATTAAAAACTTCCTTTGCCATTTAAACCAAAAGGGTTCATACTACCTCTAAAACTACAAAAGCAAAGGTGTTTTGTTAACATGTTGAAGAAAAATACGGATTTGGGGCCCCAGAAGCCTAACCTTTCTGCTTTGAAGAAAAGTTCTTAAAATTATGCAAAAGAAAGAAAAGATCTGGGGGGGGGGGTGGCAAGTTCTTTTCTGCCCCTTCGGTTATTATTAGCATCCTCCTTTTACAAACCCTGCCTCTTAGGAAGGCTCCTTCACAGGCAGGTCTGTGTGGGGAGGGGGTGATTCAGGAGTCTGCGTTTGAGGATATGAGACTGCGGTGAATGAGGAAGGGAGTAGGTGGCATAAAATTGAAACTTCATGAAAATTCCAGCGTCTATTGGCTGCTGCGATTTCACTTGTATAGTGAGTAGCCCTGTTCCAGCTCAGCCTGACCACACCCACTTGGAAAGTCCAGGGTGCAGTTCGCAGTTTAAATGTCTACACACCAGAACAAAACGTACAACAACTGTTGCTCAATTGCTAGTCAAATATCTTCACACTGGGGAATTCCACATGTTACTTAGGGAATTTTATACTGGTGCATCTCAATAAAGAACTGAAAGTAAGCCCAAGAAGAAGAAGAAGAAAAAAAAAAAAAAAAAAAAAAGCCTTATCTTTGCTCTAGATTTTGCAAAGGGGAAATTTCAACAGAATGCAGTCCTTGCCACACCTTGGCTTGACTCTGGGCTCAAATGAACTTTTCTGTTCATTAGTTCATCGAGCTGTTTGAAGCATGCACACTGAAGGAATACTGGGCCTGGCTATGTGTTTGACAGGTTGTTGTTTACAGATTCAGCATAATTAGAATTTGATGGAATTTCAAAAGCTTTATTGCTTTACTGACAGAGTAATGTAAAACAAACAAACAAACAAAAAGACCACCTACACTTTTAGCTTTCTTTAAAATTAAAAATATGTAATACTTTCCAAAAGAGAATGAAGAATTGGCTAGTTTTATATCAAACTGTCCTCCCAAATGTTTATTCTTTTGGGCATGAAAAAGAATACATTCAAAGCCTGAGTGTAACTCTGGTAGAGGAAAGACTTGCCTAGCATTCACGAGGCACTGTGTTTGATGTCCAGCAAGTAAAGAAGATAAAAGTAGAGACTGAAAGAATAGTCTGTTCAGTTGTGACTTTTATCCTGGAAAAGTCACAGATTAGTGAAAGAAAAGTTAAACTTGTCTTTTTCTCAAAATGCAGCCTCAAACACTGAATTATTTTTAGTGTTAATATCTTTTTAACTTTTATTTTTTAATTGTTTGTTGATTGACTGATAATTGATTGAGACAGGGTCTCCTGTAGTTCAAGCTAATTCTCAATTCACTCTGGAGCTAAGGATGACCTTGACCTTCTTACCTTCTTGACTCTGCCTTCCAAATGTTAGAATTACAGGCATGCACAACCTTGTCCAGCTGCCCTTTAACTCTTTTAAATGGGCTTTACAATTGTTTACAAGCAGGCTCTCATAATGCCCCAGAGGCTGGGGCAGGGCCTGCAGCAGGCTATAGACCATTTGGTACTGTCGATCCTACTTGGTAAGCTAGGAGAGGAAACTCCCAGGTGCCCAAAGCTAAAGTGGAATGACCAAGTCATTTACCATTGAGTCATAGCCAGACCAGCCCTATCTTAGACAGAGCTACAGTGGCTTCCTGGTGTGTATACTGTCCTGGGTGTGAAACCTTCCTCAGAGCTAGACAGCAGGAGTGTCAGGACCTTAGCCAGCAAGCCAAACACTAATAAGAAGAAAGGACTATAGAGTTCATAAGCTGGTCCCTGATTCCACAAAGAATCAGAGACCTAAGGAATGTCCCAAAGTCACTCAAACCAGTCAGGGGCAGAGCCATGCTACCATGGAGGTCGTCTGGCTTCTCCCCCTAAAAAGGAAGCACAAAAAGAAGTCTCTTGCTTACATCTACCATCGCTGTATGTTATGTTACCAGCTGGCCCTTCATTAAGAATCAGCCACACAGTCCTCCAGCAGTAGGCTTCATCTATCCAGGAAACCTTTGCAGGGCATTCATTCACTATGGGCTGTTTAACTTTGCTTCTCACAGCTTCCTTCTGTCCTCAGGTGATGGAAATTGCCTCATGCATGCAGCTTGTCAGTACATGTGGGGTGTTCAGGATACGGACTTGGTCCTGAGGAAGGCCCTCTGCAACACCCTGAAGGAGACAGACACACGGAACTTTAAATTCCGCTGGCAACTAGAGTCTCTGAAATCTCAGGAATTTGTGGAAACGGGACTTTGCTACGACACACGGGTATGTTTGGCTCTTATGCTACAGCTCCACGGCGGACAAAGGATACTCTGGGCCAGGCCCTGTTCCCTGAGGAACATATGACTTACAAGTCACATGAGTTGAGCTGAGCAGTGCATACTTAATGGAAAACACCAAGATCGTTCTGTGGGATTAACCCCAGTTAGCCTCTCTCTGCTGCAGCTTGTGACCAGAGCCCTAGCTGTGCATTTCTTTGGCATGGCAGGTCTTCCAACCATTGCCTTTCCTTGGGCACTCCTGCTTTTCTGGCCAATCTAGGGAAGAATGTACCTCAAGATTTTGTTTTGTTTTTCCTGATCTAGAGTATCATGTAGTTCAGGGTGGCTTTGAACCTTCTATGTAGCAGAAAATAACCTTGTTATGTAGCTGAAGATGACCTTCCTGCCTCCACCTCCACAGTGTTAGGATTGCAGACATGTGTCACCATGTGATTTTACATGGTGCTGGATAGAAACCCAAGGCTCTGTGCTTATTAGGCAAACACTGAGCTATCCCCCTGCCCTGGATAGGGAATTTTTCTGAAAGCAAATGCTGTCTGTATCTCCCATCAGCTTTGAGTTCACTCTGCAGTAGAAAAAAATAAAGGAGGAAAACCAGAACTGGGGAGAGGATGAACATCCAAATGATTGTTTCAGTGATGGAAAAGGATGGGGTTTCTCATGGGGACAAATGCAGAGTGACATCTGAGTGACTTGCTTGCTAATCCCTTCTTCCCTTCCTCTCATCTCTCCTCCCCTTAGAACTGGGATGATGAATGGGACAGTTTGGTAAAAATGGCATCAGCAGACACTCCTGCAACCCGAAGTGGACTTCAGTATAATTCCCTGGAAGAAATCCACATATTTGTCCTCAGCAACATCCTTAGAAGACCCATCATTGTCATTTCAGGTGAGGTGCCTTCTCGTTTCTCCTTGTTTCTCCAGATGCTTTTAAGCCATGATGCTTTTGCACTGAGGAGAAACCCAGGCTCCCCACAGCTTCATGAAAGTCACCCAGGGTCTTATTTTGGTTTTCTTCCCTTTAACAGACAAAATGCTAAGAAGCTTGGAGTCGGGTTCCAATTTTGCTCCTTTGAAAGTGGGTGGGATTTACCTGCCTCTCCACTGGCCTGCCCAGGATTGCTACAGATACCCCATTGTCCTTGGCTATGACAGCCAGCACTTTGTACCCCTGGTGACATTGAAGGACAGTGGACCTGGTAAGAAAACATCAGTTCATACTCATAACCCTGTTGGATCCTGGAGTTCCCAGCCTTGCTCTTTTGTTCCCAACTGAAATTGTTATATTTAAGTCTGTTCTTAATCAGGAGATTAACGAGCTCTTACGTAAAGTGCTTGGAACCAATATCATTTCAGATTGCAGAGTCTTTTATATTTCTGAATGTTGACATAGACTTTATCATATCATCATCCCTAATCAGAAACCTGAATGCTCCCAAATCCAGTCACATTTATAGATTTGAGATTTTCAGATTGGTGTTGTACACGGCATAGTAATACAATAGCAGTAAACATACCATTCCGGCATGTCTTGGAGTGTGACTTAGGAAGTACTTTCAGCATGGTAAACATAGGTTGGAGTCATATATGCATACTCCACCCCTGTTATTGTTACTACATGCCAAATCAAGGTGCACAGAGCCTCGGTATCATGTCTGGCATACAGCAAATACATGTTTGTCAGGTTGGCTATTATTATGATACCTTAATGTATAATAAGCACCTCGATAAGTGCTCCAGGCAACATTCCTTCATTTCATTCCCATAGCGTCCCTGTGAGATGTTGGCAGGAGTTGTCTTATTTTATTGATGAGGCCATGGAAACTCAAAAAGGTGAAATGACCTGCTTAGCTTGACATCAACAAAGTCAAGATTCTAATGCAGGTCAGTCTGCCTAGGAGGCATTGAATTTAACCAGTTCAGATCTCCTGTTTCCTTCCCATGGTTATAAAATCAGCTTAGGTGACCATCACCAGATGGATGGATGAGGAAACTGTGATATGTATACATGATGGAATTATTTAGCCATAAGGGGAAAAAAAGGGAATTTTTGTCATTTGCAGAGAAAGAAGGTGGAACAGGAGATAATTGTATTAAAAACAATAACAGTATAGACTCAGGAAAGCAACACTTTTTTTTCTCTCATGTGTGGAATCCAGATTTTTTTTAAGGTTACCCAGCAGAAGATATGGAAGTAGTAGAAGGTAGAGGGTTTTGAAAGAAGTGAGAGGACAATAACATCAAAACACAGTATGTTCACATAGGTATGTGCTCCAAGCAGGAGCTGAAATCACTTCCCAGCCTTCCAGCTGCAATAAATATCCAAAAATCACAAGTGAGACCCCATTTAAGAAGTCTGTCAGCGCCAGGCCCCTTGGCATTCTATGAACTCCCTGGAAACAAAGCGTTTTATGTTAGCCTTTACCACATTTTGTCTTCCTGTTTGGCTTTGAAGTGTGGCTGGATGATGACTTCTGTATCCTTAAGTTCAAATCATAGCGTGTGACCTTACACGCAGCATCATTTACTAGGGTCATATTTTACTCATACGATTGTTTTTTTTTTTTTTTTTTTTTTTTTTCTTTCAGAAATCCGAGCTGTTCCCCTTGTTAACAGAGATCGGGGAAGATTTGAAGACTTAAAAGTTCACTTCTTGACAGACCCTGAAAATGAGATGAAGGAAAAGCTTCTCAAGGAGTACTTGATAGTGATGGAGATCCCAGTGCAAGGCTGGGACCACGGCACCACTCACCTCATCAATGCTGCCAAGTAAGCAGTCTCCTCGGATTGGCGCTTTGTTAAGATCTATTTATTGAGTTATTTTGTCCATATGTATTGGTGTTTTGCCTGCATGCTTGTGCATGTGAGGGTGCTAGATTCCCTGGGACTGGAGTTACATTAGTCATGAGCTGCCATGGGGGTACTGGGAATTGAACCTGGGTCCTCTGGAAGAGTAGCCAGTGCTCCATCTTTCCAGCCCTTCTATTTGTCTTCTCCACTTGAGAACGGGACAGGAAGTGCATCGGGCCACAGCCTGTCACAAGCCTCCTGCATTTTGGTGCTGGTTTTTGTGCCATAGACTACTACATTCTGGAAATGTGTTCTAGGAGCTCATGATGTAAAGTCTTGTGTTATTTGAAGTCACCACTTATTTTCCTGCTTGCTTTTTAGGTTGGATGAGGCTAATTTACCCAAAGAAATAAATCTGGTAGATGATTACTTTGAACTTGTTCAGCATGAATACAAGAAATGGCAGGAAAACAATGAGCAGGGCAGGAGAGGGGCACATGCACCGAATCCTGTGGAGCCTTCCACGCCCCAGCTGTCGCTCATGGATGTAAAATGTGAGACGCCCAACTGTCCTTTTTTTATGTCCGTGAACACTCAACCATTATGTCATGAATGCTCAGAGAGGCGCCAAAAGAACCAGAGCAAACTCCCAAAGCTGAACTCAAAGCTGGGCCAGGAAGGACTTGGCACCTCCACCTGGAGCCCAGAGGAAACAGCTGGAGGACCTCATTCGGCCCCACCCACGGCACCCAGCCTTTTTCTGTTCAGTGAGACCACGGCAATGAAGTGCAGGAGCCCTGGTTGCCCTTTTACATTGAATGTGCAGCATAATGGATTTTGTGAGCGCTGCCACAATACGCAGCAGTTTAATGCCAGCTACACTGCAGATCCTGGTAAGTGCCAAGCCTGCCTTCAGGATGTCACTCGGACGTTTAATGGCATCTGCAGTACTTGTTTGAAAAGGACCAAAGCAGAGCCCTCCTCCAGCCTCTCTTCCAGTGTCCTTCCCTCCTGTCACCAACGCTCCAAGTCTGACCCCTCACAACTCATCCAAAGTCTCACCCCACATTCTTGCCACCGGACTGGAAATGACGTCCCTTCTGGCTGCCTTTCCCAGGCAGCACGGACTCCAGGAGACAGGGCGGGGACAAGCAAGTGCAGAAAAGCTGGCTGCATGTATTTTGGGACTCCAGAAAACAAGGGCTTCTGCACGCTGTGCTTCATCGAATACAGAGAAAATAAACGTGAGTGAAATCATCGATTGCCTATTGAAGTAGTCACTGCGTAGAGAGGGGCCTTTGAATGTCAAGAAAGTAGCCTCTCCCAGCAGTTAGAGCAATTCCATCTCACTGTGCCTTTTCGTTGACTTGTGCTTGGGGACAGTCACTATTGCTCTGCTGTTGTACCCGAAAGCAATAGTCATTATCTCATTACATCAGCTTTCATTATCATGTACCCTGCGTCAAAAGTGCCCTCTAGATATAATTCATACTAGCCCAGGATGAACCCACTGTGTAGGCCAGGCTGGCCTCAGAGTCCTGGCAATCTATTTGATTCTTCCCCCTGAGCGCTTGGATTTTAGGCATATCATGCCACACCAGACTGTGGGGCTGGGTTTAATAAGGCCATTGAGTGTCTGCTATCCACGTAAAGTTAAGATTTCAGCATCTTTGGTGAGATAGTCTGAAGCAGGTTAGCAACAGACAGGAAGTATTTATTGCCACCAGGAAAACATCTGTGGCTTAGGAATTTCTAACTCAAAGGGCAAGTGGCTGTTAATGCCTGTTGCTTTGTTCTCTGATCAGTGACCCATGTTCAAAGTGAGAGATCTGTTAAGCCAACGATGTTATTTGCTGAGTTTCTGAAAGTTCGGCCTCAAAGTACATGTTTAAGTCTGTTCTTGTCTATGCTGGGGACCCGTTTCTTGTCTAATGTCAGCGTCTGCATTTGCACGGTAATGCAGATGTGATACTGACTAGCATCTGCTCTTTCGTAGAGTTTGTCGCTGCTTCTGGGAAAGCCGGTTCCACGGCCCCCAGGTTACAGAACAGCGTCCCATGCCTGGGCAGGGAGTGCGGCACCCTCGGGAGCACCATGTTCGAAGGATATTGTCAGAAGTGCTTCATCGAAGCTCAGAGCCAGAGGTTTCATGAAGCAAAAAGGACTGAAGAGCAACTGGTAAGACGTTTGGTGGAGCTTGCCCTCTCTGGTGTCAGGACCTCCATCTGTGATAGACAGGCTGTGGCCTCATGATGAAAAAGGTCCCTTTAAAAAGTCTGCTGGAAGACGGCCTGGAAAAACCAGCCACATTTCCTTGGCTCGTGAGCTGGATGTACTGCACAGCCTAAGCATACTTAGAATTGATTCTGAAAGGCTAATAGTCAACCCTAAGCAAAGCCTCCTCGAGCATCCTCAAGCCAGGAGGTGTCTTTGATTTGAAGGAGAGGCAGAATTCTCAAACAGTCCTTTATCCTGAGCACTGGCATATGGGGGTGGGGGCTTCCTGGACCTGGGTCAGTGGGGTTGGTGGGGAGCTGGGGACTCTCAGTTACACATTTCTGCCTCTCTCACACAGTCAGGTCAAGCCCTCTGGAGAATCCATCCTGTTATTTGAAATCCCCCTCTGGTATTCTGAGAACCGTAACACCCTTCTCTTGTTCTTCCCACACAGAGATCCAGCCAGCGCAGAGACATGGCCCGGACCACACAGGGAGCTGCAAGGCCCAAGTGTGCCCGTGCCTCCTGCAAGAACATCCTGGCCTGTCGTAGTGAGGAACTATGCATGGAGTGTCAGCACCTGAGCCAGCGAGTGGGCTCTGTGGCTAACCGGGGTGACCCCACTTCTGAAGAGCCCCCTAAACAGCGCTGCCGGGCCCCTGCCTGCGATCACTTCGGCAATGCCAAGTGTAATGGTTACTGTAATGAGTGCTTCCAGTTCAAGCAGATGTATGGCTAAGCGCAAGCAAGAGGACTGGCCCGGCAAGCAGGGCCTCAAACTGCCAGGCAGAGTGGTGCTGTACTCCAGACCCCTGCCAGAGCGCCAAGGGAGCCTGGGCCCTGGGACTGTGGCTTCGAGTATCTTTCAGCAAAGGAAGAAAGACAAGCTCTTCATCATGGCTGTGACATTCGGGTTTGGTAACCAAGACTATGTCCAGGTAGGCTGAGAGTAGACCTCACGACCGGCAATGCATGATGTTAGGTTCAGCCTGAAGCCGTTGCTGCTCATCTACCAGAAGTCCGGGGAGATTTTAGACATGGAATGCATGCTAGGACTGGCAAGCAGTTCCTGTGCCCACCTGCCAGGAACTAGGAAACAAAGCACATGGACAGGTGGGGTAGAGCCTGAGGCCACCTAACTGCCTCCGCCCCCCCAGAAGCCTTTCTCAGAGAGCCAAAGCTGAATCCTCAGAGCACCAAGGCCCTCCGCCAGAAGCTCGAGGAAGCTCAGGGAAAAAGACGTGGGCAGAGCACATCTGCAGTCAGTGGGCTTCCCTCCTGCCTGCTTGGTTCCCAAGGTTGTGCAGGCAAGCAGAGCCGCACACAGACTGTGACCCTGAGGCTGCTGAAACAGAACATGTCCCTTCACATGGAGACGAAACAAGCTGCTCTTGACTGTATGCATACACCTTTTAGACAGCAGTCATCTTAGGGGAAGACATGCCACCGCTGGTCATCATTGTCTTCTGTTCCAGAGAGATTAGTTTGCACAGAGGTGTATATCAGAGTGTGTACATATGTAATATACCCTTATATTATGTATGAGGAAGGTTTTTTTAAAACATTGAAATGGTGCCCCAGAGGTAGTAGGAAGACTGAATAATAATAACCTGTTTTCTGGTTGTTGTCAGGTTGCCTCTGTGTATGCAGTTTGTTATGTGAAATTGACAAGCTGCCTCATTCTACTTTATTTATTATGGACTTCGTTATTTAAATGAAGATTTCTTCTGTAGTATTCACTTGGAATAACATACTTGCTTTCTGCCATGTTCTAGGAACCTGGCAAATTCCTGACCTCGGGGTGTGGTGGGCAGTTGTCTGCTCTCTCTACTTGTTGCCTCCCTAGGAAAGAAGGGATTGCTTTATGAATAAAGCCTGTAGAAGCTGATGCTCCTTATCCTCGCTGTCCAAGAAGAAATTGTTATGTGCCTTCTGTAGATGCTTCCAAGTATCCTACCTCTTTGAAGAGTAGATAAGGATGGAGTAGGGAGGGACACAGAAATATGTGGCCTTTCATGACCTTTGCTTACTGTGTAAATGCTGTGTGCCCTTGGAGACTAGATAGGAATCCAAGCCTTGGGACTGCAAAGCCAGTAGCCATGAGGATGAGGTTTCTGCATTTGGTTTGTAGCTTTTCTGTGTGCTTTGCACTTGCCTTTGGAGGGAGATGCATTTCTCCAGAGGGAAGGGCTGACATCCTGGGGTCTAACCCAGTACCTAAAGATGTTGTGATATGTAACTCTACATAGCCTTTTTTCTTCATCTGATACTATCTTTCCCTGACTTATGTCTGTCTTTTTTTTTTTCATTAGTTCTTTCAAAGTTAATAATCTAATATTTTGTGTCTATTGATATTTTCATTCTTAATGTGAAACCATAAAATTATTTATACTTATTATAGAAAGTTTGTGAAATTTGCACATTTACTTGTCTTTCATAGGATAATCTACTGTTTTTGGACTTCTTCAGATTGTTTTATTAAAGAATTGTAACTTTAAAAAATAAATTATTTAAGAACAAATTCTGATGTTTTTTATTCATAAGTGTTGGGAGAAAAGGGCTAAAATATGAAGACTTTGATAAAGTCTTTGAAAAGAGAGATAACTTCTGAAAAATAATCAGGAGGTTTGCTGCATAGACACGAGAAGCTAAGTGTGTTCCCATCACCTTTGTACAAGCCCGATGCAGCAGCGGATGCAGTTGCACACACATCCATGAAGCAATCAGTGGATGAGAACGAGATACTCAAGCATGGGCGCAGAACCCAGATCCATGTGTGAAAGGTTCTCGCCCTATACCAGTGGTTCACAACCTTCCTAATGCTGCGACCCTTTAACACAGCTCCTCATGCTGTGGTGACCCCCCAGCCATGGAATTATGTCATTGCCACTTCATAACTGTAATTTTGCTACTGCTATGAATTGTAATATAAATATCTGATGTGCAGGATATCTGGTATGCAATCCCCAAAGGCGTCTCAGTCTGCAGGTTGAGAACTGCTGCGGTACTAGGTCTCTCTGGAGACTCCTGCTGAAACACTCATGAGGTAGAGAAATGAAATAAGGAGAGAGACACAGATGACAAGAGCTCAGCTCCACAGTGGTGTTCAGCATCAGATTACTGGGGTTCAGGACTCAGGCCTCCATACCATGTCAGTCTCAAACCCCCAGGTGGATTTTGTTTGGTTCTTATGACCAGATGACATAAGTATCCCCTCTTCTTCAGTAGCCATAGATCCCAGGGAAGCATATTTGTTCTATTATAAAGGATATTGTAATACAGATGATAGCAACATACAGCTCAGCATCCTGGAGGCTCAGGGGTGTCTGGGCCTCTGAGCTGACCATCTTCCAGACACTTTATCTAGCTATATGGAAGTGTTTTGAACACTGTCCTTGAGGGTTTTATGAATGCTTTGCTGCATATGCATGATGAAAGCAAGGATGGTCATGAAGACCCATGGTGGCACAGACAAATCTAGCCTAATATTAACAGACGGTATGGAAAGACCCAGAAATGCCTGTCTATTCGTTCCTGAGCAGTATTGGAGCTGTTTCCTTGCAGGCATAGAGCAGGCACCCTCTAAGATTCGAATATGATGCTTACCACTGATTGTCAACTTGACAGGCTCTAGAGTCACCTGGGAGGCACACCTCTCATCGAGTCTGTGAGGGAGTTTCTAGATTGGGTTAACTGAAAGGACAAGACACATTCTAAATGTGGGTGATACCGTCCATGGGCTGAGGTCCTGAGCTGAGTAAAAAAGGAAAAGGGAGGTGAACACCAGCACTCATCTCTCTCTGCTTCCAGACTGAATGGAATGTGACCAGCAGCCTTGCCTTAAGCTCCTGCCACAACTTTCCTGGTATGATAGACTATATCCTCCAAGACTGTAAATCAAAATAATCCCTTCAAACCTTAAGTTTCTTCTTGTTGGATATTTGTTCACAGTACTAAGAAAAGTAACTAAAGGCCAGGCGTTGGTGGTGCACACCTTTAATCCCAGCACTTGGGAGGCAGGGGCAGGAGGATCACTGTGAGTTCAAGGTCAGCTTGGTCTATAAGAGCTAGTACCAGGACAGCTTCCAAAGCCACAGAGAAACCCTGTCTCAAACAAACAAACAGACAGACAGACAGACAGACAAAAACAGAAAGAAAGAAAGAAAGAAAGAAAGAAAGAAAGAAAGAAAGAAAGAAAGGTAACTATAATCTCTTATGGCCAGCTCCAAGACAGAAGGTTGGGGTAAGATTATAGTATATTTTTACCTGCCTGGAAGACAAAGTTTTATGTATTTACCCTGGTTTAGTGAGTTACAGGCAGGAACCATGAAGTGTGGCCCCCTACTCCACCCATTACAGATGTTTCATCTATGGAAAACTCAGTCAGGGCCCGGCACAGCTCCTGGAATCTTGTATTGAGTTCCTTGGGCAATTCAGACAGATTTTAGATCCCAAAACACTTTTAGCTTCAAAATTACAGCCTGAAAGAAGAGCTCAGTTAGTGTGACCTCATCACACCTGTAACACAAGAAGTGAAAGAATTGCAGTGACAGATATTGCAATTCAGCCTGAAGATCGATCAGGGAAGCAAAGTGGTAAAGCTCCCAGAGAGCTCTTACCTCTAACAGGGCTGAGGGGTTCCTGTTTTCATCGTGTTTGGATAATGAATGCCTCTATCTTCAGTGTGGCTGAAGAATGAAAGCCTTGACTGAACCCTGAAGACCCTGCTTCTATCTTTTATGCCCCTCTAGTGCTTGGATTAAAGGTGTGTGATCTGTTACTCTTCTAGACTGATTCAATCTCATGATCCCTGGGTGGGCTTGAACTCAGAAAGATCTGTCTACCTCTTTATCCTGAGTCCTAGGATCAAAGGTGTGTACCACCACCTCCTAGCTTCTGGCTGCTAGGATTAAAGGTGTATGCCTGGCTTCTCTGGCTTGTTGCTGACTTTGCATTCTGAATCCCCAAGCAAGAGTTAATAAACCATAAATAACATACCACTGTACACACCCACAAACATTCAGTGTGTATCTTAAATTCGTAAGAATGTTCCTATATAACCACATTTTCATCCCTAGCTTAATTACTTTGCATATCCATAGTAGGTCAGGACATGATGGTTTAATGAAAGATGTGTTCTAAAAACTGTACCATTGGTTGATCTCATCACTGTGTGACTGTCAGAATGGTCTTACAGAAGCAGAAATAGCTACCACATTACTATGTGACACAATTTTATATGATCACCATCCTGTGTCATTGCTCAAGATATATAATTATGAGTTATATTGCTGAAATATAATTTTCCAATTATCTACTACATAAAACAAAGTCTTACTGATTCTGAATGTTATTCATAATACCCCATTTTATTTTTACATGCTATAAATTTGTTAGAATGATGGAGGTACTTGGGGTTTTCTGTTTGCTTGGTCTGTTTTGGTTTTGAGACAGCGTCTTGCCACGTAACACTAGCTAGATTGGTACTAACAATATGGTAAGTTGTCCTTGAACTCATGGCAATTTTCCTGATTCAGTCTTCCAAGCGCTGTGATTACAGCCATGCGCCACCAGGCCTACCTGAGACAGTTTTCTATAAAGGACCTCTCGTTCTGAACTTGGATCCTACTTCCTTGTGGCATAATTAATTTGAACCTTTCCTTCTATGCTTGTTATTTGTGGCTCAGTGATGGTAATGGGTGTCCTGTTGTGACCCATCTCGCCTGTACTGTGTGACTCCTTATACAGAAGATCAGAAACTCTCAAAGGGACCCTCTCCTTTTCCCTTCTTTCTTTCTTTCTTTCTTTCTTTCTCTTATCTCTCACCCAGCACAATAAATGACAATTCTTCAGTCAGCATGATGAACATTAGCATTTGACTATAACTCACCAGGATTTCTAAAATAGTAAGTGACATAACTAACCTCTGACTCAGAGGATGGCTTCCAGACAGGGGAACAGAGAGAGTTTAGAGGGCACCAAGGAGTAGCTTAGAGCAGGGCTCCTATTTGAAGTGGATAAGTCTTTGGGGTGGTGTGGTTCACCGTTTTATGTTATGGGTACATTCATTTTTAAGTTAAAGTGGGGAACTCGTTCTTCTTCAGAGCAGTAAAGAAAGTACCCCTCCAAAACTTGGGGAGAAAGAAGTCACCATTGTTTCAGTCTCCAAGAAGTTCACCCCTGCTGTTGTAGAATGCCATCTTTATCCAACACAGGATAACATATATACACTACCATCCAAATGGGATTCAGTGCTCAACATCTGGTTCTTCCCGTGCTTGAGGATCTCAAACCCATCCCTGCCCTCCGCCCTGGACTCCACCCTGAGCATGAGCCTTTTTCTGTCTTCTTACCTCCTGCTTCTTTGCAACCATCTCCGACTTTACCTGGTTATGCTTTCCCGTAAGTTAAGACTACATACTTCCTCAAGTGCCTAAAGCCGGGATGTTCATCCTGGGTGGTGGGAGAAGAAATGAAGACATCTCTGAGTTTATCTTCTGAGCATGAGCTAAATGGCACTCTGCTAATGATTGACATTCAAATGGGCACTGGTGCTCTCCATTTGTCACATTTACAGTGGCTCACAGTCACATGAGCAGCCACTGTCATCTGAGTAATTGTGACTGGCTTTGCTCAGGAGTGCCAGTGAACGGACCTCTGTGTTCACTCGCTCTCGGGGGCAGTTTCACTGAAAACCCCCTTTATTGTATGCGTGCTTACACTTGGAAGTCAGATTCATTTTTCCTGGTTCTGAGGGTTGGGCCTCCCTCCTGCTAGGCCAATGTTTTACTACCTGGAAACCAGATCTTTTTTCAGTTTCTTTCAATATTACCCAACCAGAGGTTGAAAAGATGGCTTGACAGTTAGGATGCCTTGCAAAAGACCCAGGTTCAGTTCCCAACGCCCCTATTGGTGGCTCTCAACTGCCTGTAACATCAGCTCCAGTGGACCCAACATCCTCTTCTGGCCTCCAATGACAAATAACCACACACACACAAACAATGAAATAAATCTTAAAATAAAGATATTTTAAGATTATCCGAACAAACTGTGTCCAGCTGTGAACCCCTCTGATGGGGAAAATCAATTTACATTTTTTCAACCAATTGACATCACAGAAGATAGGAAATAACAAATGTCACAGGAAAAGCTTGATATTTTCTGTAAGAAACATTTATCTTCCTGGGCCCATTACCTGTAGTTACGCAGCCTTGAGTGACTTGTCTCATGCCTCTGACTTGTGTTTCTCTGTCTAATAAATGTTTTAGAAAATATGAAACACATGGGGAGGGGCAATGGAATGGCTTAGTGGAGAAAGGCAGCCTTGATCACAGTCCTGGTGACATAAGTTAGACCCTGAAAATCATGTAATGGGGAAGGAGAGAACTGTTTGTGTTGTGTTGTCCTCTGACCTCCACACAGGTGCACAAGCATGATCTCACACACACATGCACTCATGCATGCTCGTGCGCGTGTGTGTGCGCGCGCGTGCACACACACACACACACACACACACATACA